AATCGGGGGCATCTGATTCCCTCCCTGCACGCGTGCGACACGTGTGAGGTTACGCCAATATTTCTACACAAACATTTTAATTTATATTACATAAGTATTTATATACCAAAGTGGAATACCCATATTTCGATGTGGAAAAATTCCCAAACATCATTAAATAAAAAGGGAATTTAAATATATTCTATTAATCATCAAGTTATAATTACATATGGTGAGGTGACGTGGTGGTTAAAACCTTTGCTTCTTCATGTGACCTCTTAAGGTCGAGTCCCCCTGTGGTCATCATTTTTTTGTGTTGTATATATTGTATAAATATTTTTGTAAATAATATAAAAAACATAAAAAAAGGAAAAATAAAAAAGTTAATTTTTTGTATAACAGTTAATTTTTGTTGTATATAGTGGTATAATTAATTTTTTAAATAATATAAAAGGCATAAAAAAATAAAACATAAAAAGTTTATTCTATTTGAAATCTCCTTCTTTCTACTAACAAAATCTTTTACTAAATTTATTATAGAAACCTAAAAAAATAAATTTTTGAAAAATTGAAGTGTTATTTCCAAAATTTTTACGCATTTTATTAATTTTTACATTGATAACCAAATATTTTATTTTATTTATTAATTTTTACATTATAAATCATGTAATGTACTATTTTTCTTACAGTTGTCAATAATACATTTTAAATTAGATAATATTATAAAATATTTTAAATTTGTTATTCTTTGTCTAATAAAATAATTATAAAATGTAAACTAATAATTATAATTTCAATATATAATATTATAATTAGTTAGGTTTTAATAATTTTGGATTATAGTTAGTTAGGCTGTAATAATTTTGATTTTTTTAGTGGATTAGGGTTTTTCACCAAAACGAGATTTTAATGGCCATTCTTTCATTGATTAATCTACTATTTATAATAGTCCATGTATAATTATATATTTTATCTATGATTTTTCTTTTATGTGATGCAAATTTAATGGTTTACATAAGTTTATACAGGTAAAAGCATCTCAATATTCACAAATTGAAGAAGAAAATGAAATTTAATAATGTAGTACCTTCATTTCTTATTGGATTCCTAAAAAACAATATTTATAATGAATTTTAATAATTGTTTCGGATTTTTTTGAAGTTTTAATCCGACCGATTCAGCCGATTCCCGATCCGAATCGCCGATTCGTAGATCTGGATCGGTTTTTGAGATGCCCGATCCGAGTCACCGATCCACTTTTTAAACTATTGGTTGAGACATATCCATTAGTTTAAAAAGTTTCTAATATTTATAAGGACAAAGGGTTCCTAAATTTGTACGGCCAGTCCACATTCTTAAAATTTGGGGAAGCAAGTTGGTTTTCGTATGTTTGGTGCGAGTTCTCTCATACATCTTTTCCTAAAAAAATAAATACATCTTTTCCTAAAATTTAGGCGTGCAAGTTTTTCCCCACATCTTTTTGCCCAACCTTCTAAAATTTGAACATAAATCTTTTGTTTTTGGTAAAAGCTTATATAGAGCCTTGGCTCTAAACAATCAAATTAAAGCCTACATAAAAAATTTCATTAGAAGATGTTGTTTTGATGCCCAAATATCATCAAATTGATCATCTCGATATCAAGATACACAGACTTGAGAAAGAAATGGATTTCAAGTTTTCAAAATAGTCTATATTGTAATGCATTTTTGGATCGTCAATTTTTAAGTTATTGTTTTCATAGATCCGCTCGATCTATACTATTTTTTAAGCTTTAAATTTTATAATTAAAGATGAAAATATATTTTAAGGCTAATCAAAGATTTCCAGTATTGAAACAACATTACTCAACACTATTTGAAGGTGGGCTTTAATTTGATTGTTTAGAGCCTTGGCTCTCTCATCCACAAAAAATTTGTATGAATATTATTATATATTTTTTTATAGCATAATAAAGAAAAACAAGGCCTTCAAAAATGTCTTTATTCATAGTATCTGTCATATTCATACTATCTAAAGATGAACTAATATAACGTAGGATCTTCCATATCTTTTGAGAAGCGGGCTCATGATTTTTCTCTTACTTTCTATTTTTATTTTTTTTCCTTATTTCAGAAAATTACCCAATGAATAAGTCCTTTCCCAACCTTATTTTTCTTGTATGGTACAAGGTTGCTCTTGCAGGATTCCTTTAATGCCCATAGTTCTCTAAGTTGTGCATGATTAGTTGATTATATCTTTCTATGTTTTTTTATCTTTGTGAACTTGTATTGTTTATATTGCTTAATGTGCTAATTTTGAAAATTTGTTATTCCAGGAGAAGGATATCTATTGATCATGGGGGAAGCTTTTAGACGTATTTTTGAATATTTCCCCATGATTTTGTTGTTATTTATCTTCTTTAGAGTTCATGGTTCAATATTGAACTCGATACCAGATTTGGAGGTTGAGGCATACCTAAAGCAGTTGAATAAGCCACCCATTAAAACCATCCAGGTTAGTTTTTATCATAAACTTCTATTTTTTTGGTACAAATATCAAATTAGTATATATGATATTAAAACAAGACTTTTGTTTTGTTCTTAATAAACTTTTGAAAATATGATATTGAATTTTTAACCATTATCATTACAGGGTGAAAATGGAGATGTGATTGATTGTGTTGATATTTACAAACAACCCGCTTTCGATCATCCTCTTTTGAGAAATCACACCATTCAGGTATATCATTTTCTTTTTTAGTTGGGTCTCTCGTTTTTTTTTTGAGTCTTAATTGTTTCTTCTTATAATCCTTCCAACTTTTTTCAGACTTAATTGGGTCACTCATTTTTTTTCAGTCTTAACTGTTTCTTCTCATAATCCTTCAACTTTTATGCGTGGTCACTCATAATCCTTCAACACGGTCACCGCACAAAATTGACCCACGATTCATATTCCCACCCATATTTGGGTGGCAAAATAGAAAACAGGGAGAGGAAAACGAAAACATTGTTGTTGACCTTTTTTATTTTAGGGTTTGTTTAGAGTTAACAACCCCACAAAATGTAAAAATTAAATTAAAAAGGATTGTAATGAGAGTCTTTATAAAAAAGATGATTACTTTTTATTTTAAAAATTGTTTTAATAGATAACTTAACCATTAAACAATGACAAATTTGAAATTTTTACAAAAATACACTAGCATTTTAGAACTTAGTGTCTTGAAATTTTATTTGTAGAGGGCCGTTGTCTTTTAATAAAAATTTTAACTTTACCTTTTATGGAGATGACGAAAGGACTTATACCTTGTAGTAATATTCATAAAATTGCTTTTACTTAATCATTACGTATCATAAAAGGTTATTTTTTTTTAAAAAAGTGGCTATAAAATTAGTAAATCCACCATTCACAACTCTATCTTTCTTTAACCTTTATAATTTGAAGGGTTGTGAAGTTTAGATTATCCCTTAATTTTCTATGTAGTTGGTTCTCAACCGTAAACATTTATTATCTTTTATATGTAAATAAAAGACAAATTATGAAAACCATATCTTAATTTTTTAGATTATTAGAAATAAACCCCAAACTTTCCAAAACCTTATCCCTATCTTTTTTTTTTGGTGAGTGAACGAAAATAGCCTTCACGGTAGTCTTAGAACCATAAAAGCATCACCATCTATTGAAAACCATGATGATCATAGCAGGTTGTAAGTTAAATGTAGTTTTGAAGCATCACAACACTTAAAAAATAGTGATGGTTTATTGGACTATCACGATTCTCATTTAAATGTTATACTTTCATCATGGGGCATAAGAACTCTTAATAACCACCACGACTTTTTAAGTGATGTGATGCCTCTTAACAGCCATCACCGTTGTTTAAGTGTTGTGATGCCCCAAAACATTAAACTACCCATGATCATCACGGTTGTGAGTCTATTGTGATGCGTTCATAGTCCTAAAACTATCGCTAATGCTAATTTGGTAAAAACACACAAGGAGTGAAGAAAAGGGGTATGTATGATGTTTCAAAAGTTTGGATTTTATTTTCAATAATCCATAAATTAAGGGCTAGTTAGGATGTACCAAAAATTGTAATATTTTTGGATTGCAATCCAGCAATCCAAAAATATTCTAAAATAGATTTGACCTGTTTGGAGAACCACCTAAATTTGCAATATTTTTAGATTGAAATAAAAAATTCTCCAGTATCAAGGCAAAATTTATGATAAAAAAAAAAGAATTCAAGTCGTCCTTTTGGAGGGGACTCATTTTGATCATATCTAGCGTTCAAATTGAGTTTTTTTTTTTTTGTGATTGATTATTGAGATGAAGAGAATATGTGTGATAAACATTTAGTCATACAAATACCACAAACATGGTTTTCTAGAAGTGTGGTTGCATTATATTATGATACAACCATTGCATGATATATATATATATATATATATATATATATATATAGAACG